CTTATTATGTGGAGTGACTAGAAAGTTTTCAGTTACAGCTAAACACTTTTCACCCAACTTATTCTGCAAGTTCCCTGTTGAAGAAGGAATGAAACATCTTTCAAGTCAGCGAAAGGACAATTTCTGAACTAGCAAAAGAAAGACACCTTCATTGCGCAAACAACCTTACTTCAAGAGCAAAGAACTAAAAAGCAATTGAAATCAATGGAAAGAAAAAAAGCAACTTATCAAATCATGAGGTCAATACTGGTTATCGCTATCAAACTATGTTTCACTGATTTTGTCATCTTTTACCGGCTTTAATGTCCATGTCTTGTCTGCCTTTGCACTTCCAATTGTTTGTGAAGGAATGAGTTTAAGAAGGGATAGAATTTAAGTTATAGAATTATAAGCTAGCAATGCATTTTTATTAATTGCCATTGCTTAAAGTTGAAAACTATTTTGTTGTTATGTGCAGAAATCCAGTGAGTGTTTTCTTTTAACCTGAGCTCATCAGTCATGTAATTTAGGGCCTTTGGATAACTTGAGTAAATCTTTTCATGTTTGTGAGAAGTCTGGGCTAGGTGGGGCTTGATTTCCTGTGCAATACCCCTGTGGGTCAGGATGAAGTCCAAAACGATCATTCACTACACAAACTGGAGAAACATCTAAACCTCAAAGACTCGGATGCACAGAGAATCAGGAGGACCGTGGTGTGAGCATCCATTGATTTTTGAAGGCAGTAGGGCAGGTACATAAGCTGATTAAAAAGGCTTATAGACTAGTGCCCCTATTAGTCAAGGCATTGAATACAAGAACAAGGAGATTATGATGGAGCGGTTTATGCTGTCAGGTCACAGTTAGGGTACCATATGCAGTTCTGGTTACCACACTACAAGAAGAATGCAATTGTACTAGAGAGGGTGCGCAGGAGATTCACCAGAATGATGCCCTGGCTGGAGAGATTCAGCTAAGAAGGGAGATATTAGATAAACTGGGGTTGTTTTCCTTCCAGCAAAGAACACTGATGGGAAAATCTGACTGACAAGGAAATGTTCTGAGGGGTATAGATAGGGAGGAGTATTTCCCTTTAGTAGAGGGGTCAATATTCAGGAGACATAGTTTTATCATGCTGAGTATCTGTTTTTGTGGGTATCTGCAACTCACTGCTTGAGAGGGTGGGAGAGACAGGAATCCTCAAGATATTTAAGAAATATTTAGATGAACACTTGGAATGCCATTGTATACAAGGCTATGGGCCAAATGCTGGAAAATAGGGTTAGAATAGATGGATGTTTGATGATCAGTATGGACATGATGTGTCAAAAGTCCTCTTTCCGTAGTTAAAAACTTACCTATCTGCAATATTTACCATTGCTCTTGGTTCAGGACACCTCCAACCAACCATGGTCTCAGATTAACAAATTCCATCTCCTGGACTTTAAACTGCATATTCTTTTATCTTCCCTATTGTATTGTATTGTATTGTGCTTTCCATTTCTAATTTACTATTGACATTTGTGTGTGCGTGTAATTTATATCACATCTTTCTTATTTTTCTCACAGTAAGTAATATAATTCCTTTCTCTTTCACTCGAGAAAATAGTGAAAATGGCTCTTTAGTTGTTTCTATGAACTAGTTAACTTTATTTGAGGAGAAGCACAGCTGCAGGCTAAAAAGATCATAAAGTAGTTGTTACTGCCAACTGGGAAGGTTGAAAAGAAACAAACTGGTTCACCCACCTGGTCATAATGATAGCAATGATTCCTATCAGGTAGTCTGATATGAGAGGAAGGAATCCCTGGTGATGACGGATGCGAGAACCATGGTCACTTATTCCTCTCAGGTTTGTAACACTTACCATATGAAGTCAATGGGATTCATTGGTTGGAGTCACACTGAAGAAAAAGGAAGATCGCTGTGGATATTGAAGCCATTCATCTTAACCCAGTACATTACATTAGGATTGTGCCCGAGGTCCAATCATCTGCAATTGCTTCATCAATACCTTTCTTTCCATCATTAGGTCAGAAATGAGATGTTCACTCATAATATCACATTTTTCACTATAATTTGTCATTCTTAGATTCTGAAGTAGATTGTATTCACAGGCAGAAAGACCTGGACAAATTTTCAGATTGAGCATATAAGCAGCAAGTAACATTATGAATGACCACCTTTAACAAGGAAAAAATATAAGCATCCCCTTAACATTCAATGCATTGCAATTCATGAATTCTAATGATTCAGTATCAACTTCCTAGGGATTACCAATGAGATATTGAAGTTTTTTTTTAAAGAGAATTGGCCCATTGCAAATTCCTAACTTTGACGTAAAAAGAGGATGCATAGAATCTCTGAAACTCAGGACAAGCCTGTTGAATCTCAACTGCAACCAAATCATATCACTCTTTCAAATTGATTAACTTTATTGCAGTCTTTGTTCTACAATGTACTAAAAGTCGTATACACTTGTCAAATAAAGTGGAATTAAACCCTATTATTCCCATCATGCGCTGTGCCCGACATCAACCATGAATGTCAATGTATCTTATTCAGTGTGTACTAGAACATTCAAATCATGTATGAAATAAAGTCAACTTAATCTTTCTTTCATAACACTGCTTCTACCTGAGTGATGGAGGTCCCAAAGTACAGCAGCGGTGGTAAAAGGTGGTCAAATTAGAGTAAGACAATATCAAAAATTGTTTAATAACCTTGCTAATGCTCAGAAATTACCCACACTTGCCAAGAATGTATTGTACTTGCATTAGCCACTTACATAATATCAAAAAGCCATTAATTGGCTTACTCTGAATGTCTTGAAGGCTGCTGGTGCTCTTCACATACCTAGCCTTCATCTGTGAACCTTACATCACTCACTTATAATCATGCATTCATTCTGTTGAAAAATCAATAGAACAAATCGTTTGTAGAACATCTCTAGCTGCACTCCTATTATGACAGCAGATCATAGTGTCAACTGTGATTTATATGTATATAATGCTATTCGTTGTGAGTTTGGGTTTCTTTGAGTTGGTAACCATGGATTTTCTGTGCATCTCAAGTTAATAATTAACTTGTAAGCATTTCTGTAGCCATGGTGATTTCTTTTGAAAACATTGTTTGAGATCTTGCTTTAGAGTGAATGGATTTTCTCCATTACTAATAGTCTTTTATTTATTTAGATTATTTTGTGATTCAGAATGGTAAATAATGGGGTTTCAATGTTTGTTACAGAGTTCTGGAACTTGTTTTTTTAAGCTTAAGGGAAATACGCATTGTTGAGAGAGGAAGATGTTTAGTTTCATTTTTGATATTGTGTGGGGCTATCCTGTATTTGGAATAGGATGGCTGTGTAGAAAAATGGTCCTGAGAAGGAAGGAAGATATAGAATGAACTAGAGTGAAGAGTTAGCGTTACTCCCAGATTAGAAGGTTCAGGTTGGAACCTGGCTTAATCCAGCAATAACATCAATTGGGATCATACATTAGAACATTATTCTCTGTGTATTCTTTTTAAAAGAGAAGCCAGCAAACACTAGCAAAAAGACATTGTGCACTCCTGACCCTCACTCTCCCCACAAAATCTTTCTCATTCTCAGGGGAGAAAGTGTTTTAAATTGAGAGTGAGAACATCTTGTGAATTAAGGAAGTGAAGGCAGGAGGTAAATGCCAACTATAGGTTGTAATGGCATTCTGTTCCCTCCTTTCTCATCCTAATATATCATTATCATCTTTCAGCAAACCTACATCAGGAAGCTCTTCTGCCCTTCTTGTCAATAAAAGAAACATATTAATCTTTGTTTTTCTTCTATTTATATCCGTTCAGAGGAAGATGAAAAATAATGAAAACTGAAAGAACTATGGATGCTGAAAATCAGAAACAAAAACAGGAATTGCTGGAAAAGCTCAGCAGGTCTGGTGGCATCTGCAGAGAGAAATCAGAGTTAATGTTTTGAGTCCAGTGACCCTTCCTCAGAACTGAAGAAAAATAATGTCTCTTTGCTTGCAATCATAACTGAGAGACAAGTGAATCAGGATGGATAACAGAGTGAGACAGCATATGGAAAGAAGCATAGATCACAAATGAGCAGAAGCATTGGCAATAAGCACACAAGGAATATCCATGGACATTGCTTCTTGGCTGAAGAATCTCTAAATATTACAGGTCTCTCGAAAATTTCAGTTTTTAGTTCTTTATCAGTATATTTCTTGCTTTCTGCTCATCAGTTTGCGCTACTTTGTCCTAATTCCTCATTATCCTATCCAAGCCCTGATCCAGAATTTAAGTCTTGCTGTCTTCCTGAACTCCTTCCCCCATTCTGGTCCCAGATTTGTGACCAAATCCAAGCTCTGCTGCCCACTGTGGCCCAGCTTCAATCTTGGTTCTGATCTTCCACACTTTCCCAATATCATTACACTTTGCTTCCCTCAGTCATCTTATTCAAACCTAAGTTAATCCTTGGCCTTGATATTTTACCCAGTCTCTATGTAGTTCGTGTTACAAAAATAATTGTATTCCAAGTTTATTGGGTGGAGTCTGGTTTCCTAATTGTAATCCCATTATCTATTCTACTCTTTGCTGCTCCTTGTTCTTTCTTCTAATTGCCATGCTTTTTTTTTGTTTCATTGCTTCATTGGCTGTTGTCACCTGGAATTATTGTACATTCCTAATTACTCTTGAAAAGGTAGTTGTAAACCTTCTTCTGAAGCCATTGTAGTGTATATGGCATTGGTATATCACAGCGCTGTTAAGTAGGATCTTCAGAATTTTGACCATCAACAATGAATGAATGGAGTTTGAACTGGAGTGCTATCAGCTGGATGGTGGAGAATGGATTTGGGCCAGTTACTGCATTTGCACCCTCTGTGTGCAAGTGGTGGAGTGGATGTTTAAGGTGGTAGATAGTCAATATCACGTCTAGGAATTCAACTCTTCTGCCCATGTTTGGACAAAGGTTATTTCATTTCCCTACGCCCCTCCCCTTTCTCCACATCCACCCTTGGCTTTGCGATTCTTGCTTTTTTTCCCCTGGCCGTTTCTTTCCACACCTCCTTTATCTCGTTACGTTTTCCTCTTCATTCTGTCCTCTTCCTCCCTCTCCACCCCTTCTCTCACCATTCCTGTTCTCCTTCCCATCACTCCTTTCCATTCTTCCACTCATCTTCACCCTCCCCCTGTCTTATCACCCCTGGTCTTCCTCATCGTCCTCCCCTTTTCCACACCCAGCCTTTTGCACCGCCACCCTTCCGTCCTTAATCTCTCTAACACACTCCCCTTCCTCCGCCTATCTCACAGTTCTTCAGTTGCTCAACTTCTTCCTTCTCTCCCTCTCTCTCTACTGGCTCCCCATCCTCGTCCTTCTCCCTGTTCTCTTCCTCCCTTCCTCCTGCGTTATTCGGTCTCCGCATCCTCAGAGTTCCAGTAACACCCTCGCCGAGCTGCGAGCGCTCAGAGTAGCGGCAGAGTGCAGCTCCTCACTGACCATCGCTAGCAGGACTGCGGGAGGGGCTCGGTCAGGTACGGCAGGGCAGCCGGCGAGGCTGCTTCACGGAGCTGTTGCTTCTGAGACATTAGGTCCTGCCCTCTCTTACTGTGGTTGCCTATCGTTAATTTTGCAAGTTGTAGTTTCTAATGGAGAAATTATGGTTTAAAATGCCCCTGTAGTTGCTGACTTTTTGGAATAATTCTTTGATATCTCAGCTATGTAACAGGTGAGGTAAATATCCCAGTGGGAGAACAGTACATTTGCTTTCTTGTTGACAGACAGTAGGTGACAGCTCCTATTAATGTTCTGGATCTCTTGAGGCTCAGGTTATGTATCTTTTATTTTTATAGATAGATGTAAATAACAGTTTTGACAGTGAATTGAGAAAGATGTAGAATTTCGATGCTGCATATTGTAACTGTTAAAATAGCATTTAGCGCAAGTATGCTTAACGCCAGATTCAACTTTTAAAAAGTTAGCAGATAGCATACAGCCCACAACTGGGGTAAAATTGTGCTCTTAATTCAGCTTTCATGTTTTGACAAAGTTGAGGAAGGTTCTGAAGTAGAAACAAAAGTTATGGAGTCCTCAAAATAGTTCTGCTAATGAACATTTTTATTTCTGTTGAATAAAGAGAAGGAATCTTTGCATTTGTGCCAAATGAAGCTTAAATGCTCCTTCTTGTGTAGATGTCTGGATCTGCGATGGATAGAGAGGGATCAAACCTCCCAGAAAACCGTGAAACTTCCAAAGAGAATTGTTCATTGTTCATTAACAGTAAGTTGTCATATTGGCCCAGGTCACACAAAGGCTGCTGAATTTTGAAAGAAAGAATAAATGTTTATCCATGCACGCTAAATTTTAAAAGAGCAAAAAATGTGGGAACAAGTTTGTGTTTTGATCCTATTGAGCAAAGAAGCTGGTATAACATGAGTAGATATATTTATATCAGTTTACATTTGAATATTAATTGATATTGAAACAGCAGAAGTTAGACATGAACAAGAATTACAATCGTGAGCAATTCAGTGGTTATTCCCTTTTAATACTTTGAAAAAATGTTAACATATGTAGATTTCAGAAAGGAAGCAAGAAGGAAAAGTTACAGAAACCTATACAATATTTCTTTTCATCTCTTTTCAGACAATCAAATGCCCTCATGTTTTCTATATGCCGTGAGTTCACTATATGTTGCATGTGTTTTGTACTTCCATTACTGTGAATCTTATAAATCTTATTATTCAATATCTGATATATATGAAACACACATGGATATATGTAGGTGGTGGGGAGGCATGCATTCTATAATCATTTGTTGCTAACCTGCTGCCTTCCCACCCAACCCAATCCGTGCCCCATATTATGGGGTGTCAGGTAAGCCATCAAACAGCTCATCTGCTATTCGGCCTGTTGGTCTTAAGCAGACAATTGACTGCCCCCAGCAGCCTCATTCTGCTCCCACTGCACTTTTGTGGTCTGCAGGTGAAAATGGGCACAGGGAACAGCCTGATAGCTTTGACTGCATGGAATGTTGGCAGGCAGAAAGGATGTGTCTCATTTAGAGGTACCCTATGTACCTATTTTTGGGATGCCCCAAAGATTGTACACTCCTTTTGACATATCATTTGATTTTTTAAAAAAATAGGTATAATGTAATAGCACAAGGAAATGGTGTAACTACATATTGTATCATCAGGAGAAGTTTTGACTTAAGTATTACATTTTAATTTTTTGTAGCTATTTCATGCATCACATTAACTGAGTGTTAATGTATGCAAAACAGTGGAAACAGCATGCAATTGATAGTGCTAAATGATCCCAAAGCCAATAGACAGGATTTAACTCTACAATCCTGTCACACACAGTTTTGACTTGCAGTGGGCAATTGAACAACTCATAAGTGGTGGAGGTTCCACAAATAAACCTCATCTAGTACATCTGTTCAAAAGATAAGGCTGAAACATTTGCATCCTTCTTCATCGAGAAGTGCAAATTGGCTGATCTATCTCAGTTCTCCTCCCTCCTGAGCTCCCCAGCATTTCTAATCTTTAACCATTTGATTCATTCTATAATATCAAGAGATGGCTGAAAGCACTGGATACTGCAAAGAGTTATGGGCCCTGACAACATTCTGGCAATAGTCATAAGAATTGTGCTTCAGACTAGCTCTATCATAGCCAAGCTGTTCCAATACAGCTACAAGACTAACATCGGTATATTGTTCACATAAAGCAGGACAAATCCAACCTGGTCAATTACTGACCGGTCAACAAAGTTATGTATGATCAAGCCAGCCAATCAGAGATCATTCTTGTACCACCCTCACAGTCTCCAAAGTTTGTACTGAATGCAATATGTTGCAAAGTTTAATCTGAAAACACACCTCTGCAAAAAGGGATAAAGAACATCTATGCTCCAAAAATTGATGAATAGGCTGAAACCGAAGATGAGAAAGCAGTGTGAACAATCGACTTGTATACTGCTAAATTAAAACTGGGAACTCTATTCAGTCAAATAGAAATCGCATAAAGGTTGTGACTGCAGAAAGATTTATTCCACAGTTCCATCTCAGCTGTGGCATCACAGTTTTCCGTTATTTTATTTAGGTCGATAATGGTCTTGCTTTTCTTTCGGATGAGCACAGTGAAAGAACTTATCCAATACAATATCCTATTGAAATATCTGCCGATAGTTAGGTGAAGAAAAAGGAAGCTTACGTGAAGCATAAACATCAGCATAAACCATTTAGGCGATTGATCTATTTCTGCACTATAAATTCGATGAAATCATTTGTACAAAACCGTGTAAAGTACATTTAGTAAAAATAAAGCTGCCCCTTGGTATATAAATTCAGCATGGTGTACCTAGCCTGCCTTTGAGAAATTCTCTGATGGAATGTGTTGGCTGATCTTGTGGTGATCAAGGGAACATCTTAAGATTTTGATGACATGCAACCTTATTCTTGTAAACTGAGTGGGTGTTGAATTTTGGCCAGCTGTGATCTGGTAATAGGTATTGAATGCTTTGGGACACTGTCATCGAGATGGGAGTGACGTAGAGCTCTTGAGCTGGAGCTCTCCCACCCTGACTGCTTTTCCTTTTTTTTCTCTTTACTTACCTCTTGCCGTGAGCTGGGACAGCAGCGAGGAACACCAGCACGGACTCAAGTGTGGGCTCAGGACAGACTTGAGTGGGCCCAGCGTGAATCTCATGGCAGCAGCAAGTGAGCTGCTATTTACTTTCCCAGAGCAAATAGGGGAACTGGCATCAGAATCGGCAGCTGCTAATTCATGGAGTAACCATCAGCCAGACAGTCCCAGTGGCGAAAGATGGTGCCTGAGGATCAGCGACTTCGTCATTTGTTGTGTCTGGTGCTGGCAACGGTGTAATGGCGGTGGAAGGACATCACAGCAACATCGACGAGATGGGCCCAGTGGTGAGAGATGTAACTCTGATGTTGGTGGGCCAAGCGCAGGTGGTGGTGAGGTGGTAGTGGAGGAGAGACGGCACAGCAGCAAAAGATGGTGCCTGAAGAGTAGCAACATCAACGTTGGTTGGGTCCAGTGTAGACGGCAAAGAAGTTATGGCAGCACAGGCATCATTGATGATGTGCTCGCTCAACACTGATGGACTCTCTTTACGCTATATCTTTTTTTTTCTTATTCTTAAAATTATTCAAAACGGTGCCAGATTGTGGCAACAATGGGAAAGCTTTTATTGTATTTCAGTGTTTTTCTCACTTAAAATGCAGGTGACAATAAATCATTCATTCATTCGTTGTTATGTCATTTGTACAAACACACATGATGACTTTATTTTACTGTCAACATGAGAATTAGTTGCTTGCTCCGCACCCTCCATCACCTCAACATGACCATGAGATTATGTAAGAATAGGATTAAAAACATTCAAGAAATCTCTAAATAAGACTGTATAAACATCATTCAAATGACTTAACGAAAACTGTCGGACAGATTTTAACTCAGTCAAAACCTGTTCACTTCCATAAACTTAGAATCAGGTCTTACGTCTTAGAATACCAATGCACCAATGGAAGAAAGTTATTGGTCACAGTGGGGGATTATTCACCAGCTGGAAAAACTGAGGTCAACTTCACTGTGCACAGATTTCAGAAGGCCCCAGTGGGATTGACTTGAATGGGTACTTACCTTCCCCCCATCAGTTTTTCCAGCTCCTGCCAAAGGTATGTTCCCCTCAGAAATCCCAGTGTGGAACAGATATCCCAGCCCTTCCATAATGAGCTGTTGACCATCAGAGGCTGGCATCTTTCCAGTGGTAGCAACACCTCTGGGAGTGCAAGAGACAATCGGTGATGAAGCCTCAGGAATAAGATCATTGGGGTGCATTTGCTGGGTCCTGAAAGAAGGAAGAAGGGGGATGCTGTTTGAAGGTCAAAGAGGATCATACTCTGGGGTCTCCAATTCCTGGCAGTGGTGCCTCACTTAGGCATGGAGGGGAGGAGCACCATTTTCTGGCCCCAGGCACAGAGCCAAATTTTAATCCGCAACAAGTTCTGGTTCCCTACTATCCCCATGCTCGTAATCCTACATTAATTTTGAAGCAAAACATGAATATTTTAATATTATTATTCTTTCCAAATCGTTCCATTGCCTTGCCCATTGCTGTCTACATAATTTCCTCCAGCTCCACAGATCTATGTGATATGTGTACTCCTCCAATTCTCACTGATTGTGCATCATCCGCTTTATTTCTTTAGTATTGCTCTCCGTGCCTTCAGTTAACAAGATTCAATTTCTGGAGTACCCTTCTTAATCTCTCCACATCTGTTCATCACTTTCCTCCTTTGCAATACTTCTTAAGACCTATCTCTTTGATCAGGCTTTTGGTCACTGACCTTGTGTCTCCTTATGTGGCTTAATGTTCTACATTGTTTATAATGCTGCTGTGAATGTCTTGGGACATTTGATTATATGTTAAAAGCTCTACATAAAGATGCATTTTGTTATTTTTAAATGATGCATTAATTAGAAGCTCCCGAATGGGGAGTGGGGTGAGTGTGGGAGGGTGGTGTGATCTCCCTGTTGTACAGATTCCTTGAATATTTTCTTGTAAATAAACATGAAATACAACATGTTCTAAGTAACAGGGCAAGAAATAATTATGTACATGTTGCACTATTTGATAATAAACTATATTTTTTGTTTTCAATGGTTTGGTTCAGATTTTTGCTTTACCGATTTCTAAAAATGCGCAGTATTGCAAGTTGTTATTTGCATTACACAAAGCATTTTTTAAGGAATGTATGCATTTCACAATTCTAAGTAGCAGCTTCTGTAGTAATTGGATTAAGCAGCATTTTAAAAAAGACAAAAAGTAGTTAAGCTGCACTCTAATGCTGGCAGGAAGGCAATGATGTCTATTGTAGCAGTTAGATGTTCATAACTGCTAACTTCTAACTTTATCTTACACTTTAAATCACTAATCTCCAAATGAAACTTTCACGTTTTAAAATGTCAGTGCTTAAGATTAAAACGTACATCTTGGTAACTACCTTATCTACTTGAAAAATGCAAGAGTCAGTAAGAAGTTATATAGTAGAAACCACTTATGCTGTATTTACATGTGGTAGGAAATACCACCATATACTCACACTCTTTTATTGATTAAAAAAGTCTTTAAAACAAAAATAGTTTAGACAAAATATCTTCTGAAATAAATCAAGGGTATTTTGCATCTGATAGAGTATGACTTAGGGGAGCCCATATAAAAATGCTTTGTATGTTTAATTTTCATAA